TAACAAAGCATAAAGAAGTAGGCAGAATAAGAATAAAAGCAAGATACATAGACTTTTGGCGGTAATTCCCTTCCATAATTGCGCTTGATAATTTTAGTATATTTTATTTTTTAAATTCAAGGAAGGTCATGGGTTTACTGCATACAATTTCGGACAAAAAACATCCCGAAAAATTGATATAACGTTCATTAGAATGTGCGGCATATCATCTGTAATTATACTCCCGCTTAAAAAGTGATCGGGATGTGCGGGGTTGGGGTTGGGGGGGGGGGGTTATCAATTAGTGAGCTCATTGCTCACTCACAGTACCTCTAGTTTTTAGTCAATTTTTGCGTTTTGATATTTCTAAAATGATTATATAGAAAAACACGAGGTACTGTAAGCATTGAGGTCACTAATTGATACCGCCTCCCGCATGATTATAATGACAAAGTCCCTGTTTTGCTCTTGTAGACCCGAAATAAATGTCAGATTAAAACCCCAGTCACATTTCCAAAAACGACCAACGGCCGACGGGTTTTGAAGCAAAAACGGGATTCTTCGGGTGACAGTCGGCAGTTCATCGGCCGTTGTCTTGCCCGATTTTGACCTCTTTTTTTGTCGGCCGACCAATTTTGAGTCCATCGGTCCAAGTTATAATTTTTCTGCGTCGGTGGCCGATTTCTTCAATTGAAGTTATCCGTCGACCAACCTTCGACCATCGTCCGACCATCGGCGGTCAGTTCATTAAGTCGATCGTCCGTCGTTCGACAATAAGGGTGTTCAAATTTTCGGCCGACGTTAAAAATCAAATTGTAGCTCAGAGCTCGATGATCGGGTGACGATTGGCCGACTTGTGAATATTCAACTTATTAAGGATACATAACCCAAACAAAATTTTGATGCATGGATTGATATATATTTTTTGAACGGAAATAACTTAAATAAGATGTTAAGAAATCTTAAGTATTCTTTGCTGCTTAGATATGCGCCATATAAAAAATTATATTAATTATCCAAGTCATCGGTGTCCCTAGGAATTAATGTGACTGCTCCGTGTCGTCCGATACTTGTGTCGACCGATCATGTTCTTTCAGCCGACAAGACTTGAAAAATTTAGTCGCCGGACCATCGGCGTAAATGTGACCTAGGCATAAAAAGTAAAATAGGAGGCGTACAATAGTATTTTGTTATTAAAAAATCTGCGAAAGTATCATTCAATTTTATTAAGTGGTAAAGAAGGAGTTACGGATAACAGATGGGTACCCTTTAATATTATTTTAAAAAATGACCGTGCTTACTTTTTGCTCTGGGAAACCCGAAATATGTATGTGTCCTATCAAAAAGTAAAGTAGGAGCTCACAATTACACTATGTAACAAAGATTCTGTGAAAGTCTCATTAAATTTCATTCAGTGTGCAGGAGGTGTTGCAAATAAGAGATGGGTACCCCTAACAGTGTACTCCTGCCTTAACCTTCTACACGGCACATCGCTTTATACGGTCTTATCCGAAGGACCGGTCTCCACGTCCCACAGCGAGATTCGATCCCGCGACTTAAGGATAAAAAATTTATATTCCTTTAATATATTGTCTTTAGAAATGAATATAAGGACATGTATTATCTCTGCTGGATTCTTTTTATACTAGTATATGAAAATTAACAAAATTACTGGCTTGCACGTGAGTTGAAATCTGATTATTTTTTCTGAAATCCTTTTGCTTTACAATATTACCCAACTCTCATATTTTTGAAGATATGTAATATTGTCTATAAAATAGGATTTTGTCTAATTAATTAAAGTCTCTAGGAAAAAGACCTCAAAAGGAAGTAGGGGAACATCTTTTAGGTCTTCATTACAATTGAAAATAGTTTAAATACAGATGTATATACTCAAAGTCTACCTTGTGGAGAGAAGAAGAACCTGCTGATTGTTGGATTATGACCGTCTGTTTTGTATGTTGAAAATGTTTTTGAATCCAGAAATGCTTCCTCCAAGTCAGCATCTTTCCGTTTGATTGTGTAGATGATGTCAGAAGTTGCATACCCAAAGTCTTCATCGTCGAGATCTTCCATCCGCCTGTTGGAAGAGACATGTTGTAGAGGTAGATCCACGATTGCTTCTTTGCTCAATATCCTTCCTGTGGATATGTTGTTTACCGGTGGTGTAGGTACTGGTGTATCCGGTAAAAAGGGTTTAGGTCTCTGTATTGATGGAGGAACATCGGGCTTGGTTTCCTTGTTCTCAAAGTCTTTGTCCTCTGTAAGATTAAAAGAACTCAATAAATTCTTTTTTAATATTGTTAAACTTGTCCATTCAATTAAACAAAATATGAATGTGTCAATATTTTTCCTGTCTTTTTGATATTACTGTCTAGAGCCAGAATTCAGTTGGTACCTATAGATCTAGAAGATAAATTTCCCGGAAAAATTGACGTTTATAAACCAATGTTTTTAATTGCTTACTACCACGATACGAAATCTACCGAAACGAAACGAAATCAAAAGAAACGAAACCTACCAAAACAAGAGTATCAAATGTTTTTTTTTCGAATCAAGATATATAATTACATGTATATATAATAAGTAACTAACTACATGTTGGATATCTTTACTTCATATTAAATTAATTTAGTTGAAGCACTTGTTAATATGAATTTAAACACAGATAAATGCTCCCTTGTCTAGTGATGCATTTTTTTTATATGTGCATAACATATATGTAACCTGGGATCTTAGGGTTGATTCAGGTTCAGTAGGAATGGAATGACTCCATGTAAAGTTTACATCCTTTTTGGAACAAGCAACTTTCGAAATATCAAAGAGCACATGGCGAGTGTGACCGGTCGGCAGGGGATGCTCACTCCTCAATGGCACTGGATTTAACTTCTGATGTTTTAAAGGTCCATGTTTGCTCTGTTTCTATTTTGTATTGTTTTATGGACTTTTGAGCTTGAATAGTGTTCGTTCTCTCCATATATTCCATGCTAGTAATAATAAACGGGAATTATGTCTAATTATACCTAAGTATTCAACACTTACACATCTGTTATGTATTCAATTTCATTGAATACCTGAAGTGGACAAATCCAAGACTACACTGTGTACCTCATGTAATGAAATTACACAACTGTGATAATGTGAATAGCATGCAACTATTCTGAAGGAATGCAAAAAATCCTGAGAAATCTTCAGTTGCCAACAAAATAGTTTTTCCAAAATAAAACACTGATGTTGAAGCACTTTTTAAAGCTGATATTACACATAATAGAGACATTTCCTATGAAGGAATACCTGGAGTTTTACCTGCATCTTGCATTGTTTGAATAATACATGAATATAATTTAGAGATTATGATGCAAAAATAATTCAAAACAACTACTCAGTTTTATTGTCTATTATTCCAGAAAACTGGAAAGGTTTATTCAAAATAATGTTTACAGGAAGAATATATGTTTGCTAAACTTTTCGCCAAGAGTGCAAAATCAAAAATATGTATTTTCTTCGTGTACTGTTAAAATATTTTATAAGATAAAATACAAAAATTGTTTCGACTCCCAGAGTCAAGCGAGCATTAGAAAGAGAAATTGAAGTTAGAGGATAAATAAAACTTGATAATAGATGGATTGATTGAAAAAAGGTGTATATCGCCTGATATAATTATTAGTCCCCTCCGGTTTCTTGAACTTGATTTTAAAATTTTTCATAATGGAATTCTTACCTGTGAATTTTTTTTAATTTATGCACATGTTTATAATTGCAAAAAAGATTTTGAAAACAATTTTATAATATCTCATTTAGAGTCATTGAAGGACTGTAAGAATAGTATATATAAGATTTTGCAAATACTTAATAAGGCATTACATTCATTATTATTATCAACTATGTATAGCAGAAAACAACAGAAAGATGTTTCACAAGAAATATTTTAGGAAAAATCCTATTTTGAAAGAAACAGAAGGAGCCCTATTATTCATTTTTTTTAAAAATTCGTTAAATGATGTATTGATAACATATAGTGGATATTGACTGAGATATATATGTATTGTACTATTTGTTTGATTAATCAATAAAAGAGAAAAAAGGGCTTAAGGCTACCTGTTCAGTGCACTAGGAGTAAATTGTTTTGGGTTCTAGCCTCGCATGGGGCGTTAATCATTTTTTTTAAAATAACCAATTCTTTTGACAGTTTCATTTTATGTACTGATTTATTAAAAATTTTGAATTAGATAAATTTTGGTTCAGTTGCACAGAGAGAGAAGTCAATTCCAATCTTCTATTCTACTTTAACTTTGACGAACATAAACACTTATCATTTATCTTATACGCCAAGTCCAGCACAATACCCTGATAAAGGCATATAACTTGATAAAGCTATATATAACTTTATCACCTTCACCTTCACCTATCCCTTGACTTCCGTGGATGTCGTTGGGGCACCTTTGAAGACCTATCCACCACTTTTATCCATAAATCTCTGTTTTCTGTCGCTCTCTGGGTTTGTGCGAGGCTCAGTCCACTAAGGGATGTTGTCTTCCCACCTCTTCTGTTGCCTTCCCCGTTTTCGTCCTCCTTTCACTGTTCCTTGCAGGATAGTCTTTGCAAGGCCACTTGAACGTGAAACGTGGCCGTACCATCTTAGTTTCCACTTCTTGACGATAGTGAGAAGGTCATCGTGAGGTCCTATGGCTTCTGTGACTGTCCTGCAGACCTCTGCATTGGTCACATGGTCCGTGTAATTGATGCCGAGTATCTTCCTATAGCATCTCATCTCAGTGCTCATAATCCTCTTTTCTAACTCAGCAGTAAGAGTCCAGGTCTCACAGGCATAAAGGAAGACCGACATAGCAAGGGAACGCATTACCTGGATCTTCGAGCGTAGAGTGATGTTTCTGTCTCTCCAAATGGTTTGTAATTTCGCTAATGCTGCAGTTGTTTGTGCAATCCTTGCTATAATTTCTGGTTTGGAGCGTTCGTCTGATATGATGGATCTGAGGTACTTGAATGACTTCACTGTCTCCAGACATGTTCCGCTGATCTTGACTTTTGGGGTGATGCCTTGGGTGTTGTTGGTCATCAACTTTGTTTTTTCTGCCCTTATCTCCATACCATATGCAGAAGCTGCTTGGTCAAGGCGGTTCACTAAGCTGGTTAGCTCTGTCTCTTTCCCTGCAAGGCCATCAATGTCATCAGCGAATCGCAGATTTGTGACGGTTCTTCCTCCGATGGAGACTGTGCCTTTATGATTATCAAGAGCATCATTCCATAATCCTTACAAGGAAGATGTTAAAGAGGGTGGGAGAAAGCCGACAGCTTTGGCGTACTCCTACTGTTGTGCGGAACCAGTCACCAATGCTATTATTTAGAAGAATTGCACTAATGGCCTTGTTGTATAGTTCTTCAATCACTCGAACAAGGTTGGCATTGATGTTGTATTTCCTCATGGTGGTCCACAAGGCAGCATGCTACACATGATAAAGATCTAGCTGGTGTTGTAGGTACTTCTCGCAGATTATTCGTAGATTAGATATCTGTTCGGTGGTACTTCTTCCTGTTCTAAAGCCTGCTCGTTCTTCAGCAATGATGGTCTCTGCTACAGGTTTCAGCTGGCGGGTTAAACCACGTGAGGTGGTGGTGATGACACTGCACCACTAGGAGGGCGGAGGAGCTGCGACAGCGGTCAACGGCCGGGGCGGAAGGGCTTCCAGGATAGCTCAACGACCAAGTGTCCAGGGCCAAGGCGTGCCTCCAGGTAACGGAGGACTTCGGCTATGGCTAACGGCCTGGAGAGGGATGGGCGCCGCCAGGTCATATCGCCCAAGACACATCATGATGAAGACAACCATAACTGAATCTATACCGGCTCGGTCGTCGCCCGAAACAAGGACCGCGCCTTCAGCTTTACACCAGAGCGGAGGTGATAAGTACACAAATGGTGCCCAAAGAACAAAGCTACGTGCCAGGGAAAACATCGTCCTCGACAAGAGGGAAGAATAGAAGAACTGGTTTATGAGATGAATAGATACAACTGGAACCTTGTGGGCCTATATTAGTCGCGATGGAAAAACAGAGGTGAAACAACAATAAGACGGACACAAGGTGTATTACAGTGGAAGGGATGAGAAACACAGAGAAGGAGTGGGTTTCCTGGTACACAAAAACACCATCAGTACAGTCATGGGATGCCGCCCGGTCTCCAGTAGACTGATCTCCATCCGCCTGAAGGCAGCACCATTTAACATCACAGTGGTGCAATCATATGCCCCTACAAATGATTACAGTGACGAAGACATGGATGATTTCTACAACCAGCTACAAGAAATCGTTGATGAAACACCTAAGAAAGACATTTTAGTGGTACAAGGTGACTGGAATGTTAAGGTCGGAATAGATGCTCAATCAATCTGGAAAGATATTTGCGGACCATCATGTTTCCTTACAACAAATGAAAGAGGTTATCGACTGCTCGAGTTTGCCGCCACCAACAAGCTTGTGCTTGCAAACACACGGGGACTCCACAAACCATCAAGGAACTGGACATGGACTAGCCCAGGTGGCCAATACCGAAGCGATCATGGTCTGGTCATGATGTCATTCAGAGTCCATCTAAAACAAATCAGGAAATCCAAGTTTACCAGACTTTAACCTGGAGAAGTTAAAAGATCCGAATATAAGAGATGAATTTCAGGCGATGATCGGAGGGAAATTTGCAGCCCTGACTACACTGGACGAAAACAGCTTCAATCTTGAATCAGCGGTCAAGTCTTTCAACGAGGCTATAGTTGAATCAGCCAATGAGATTTTGGGGAAACACCAGCGCCCCCAAAAGAACCATGGGTTACCGCCAGCATCTTGGAGCTATGTGACAGGAGACGGGAGCTGAAAAATACGAAAGACAACCCAGAAGGAGCTCAGAAATACAGAATGGCAAACAACAAAGTCAGGAAGGAGCTGAATAAAGCAAAAAATATATGGATTGAAAAACAGTGTTCTGAAATCGAAGAAAACCTTCAAAGGAACAACACTACGAAGGCGTATCAAGTGGTAAAAGAGCTCAACACGGAGAAACAGACCGACAAGCATCCGAAATAAGTCCGGAAAATGCCTATCTGAGGAGAAAGATATTCTAGACAGATGGACAGAATACTGCTCTGAGCTATACAACTACCAGCTCAAGGGAGACCAAGCAGTATCAAACTGCCCAATGGCAAAAACAGAGGAGGATTCACTTCCGATCCTACGAGAAGAAGTCGAGGCAGCAATCAATGCTATAAAACTAGAGAAATCAGCAGGTATCGACAACATACCCTCAGAACTGGTTAAGGCTGGAGGAGAAGCAATGATCACATCTCTTACAACCATCTGCAACAACATCTGGAGCACTGGAATATGGCCAACTCCATGGACACAATCACTGATTATCACCTTACCAAAGAAAGGAAATCTACAGTTATATAACAACTACCGGACCATTAGTTTAATAAGCCATCCAAGCAAGGTGATGCTGAAGATCATTTTAAATAGACTGAAACCTGTAGCAGAGATAACTTAATCAAGGTATTACAAATACCTTGATTAAGGTATTTTGTGTGATGAAAAATCAAAACAAATCTTAAAAAATTAAATACTGAAAGTCGAGGTCAGTTGTTGTCAGTAAATTCACCCATGCATGTAAAGTATTCAAACACAAAGAAATCAGTATAAAACATGTCGTGTGTGGGGACGTTCTTTTATGCTGTCTTATTGATACCAGAGTGCTTTTCACGCACGAGCGGACACACTGGCCACAACTCAAAATTCGACTTTTAATTTTAATTTTTTAAGAATTTTTTTTTGTATTTTCTGTGCATAAAATATCTTGATCAGGGTATTTGTAACACCTTGATAAAGCAATATACCTTGTAGCTTTATCAAGCTATATACCTTTATCAGGGTATTGTGCTGGATCTGTAAGTGTTTATTTTTTGTGAAGTATTACTATGTTATTGTACATCCTAAGAAAAATGGTCATAAATGTAACAACCATAAATATTCCTGCAGATCACACTCCAATCTTCTTTGAATCGGCAATTTAATGACAAATTCTCTGCTCATCCACTCCATTTCTTTTTCAGACCTGCGAGCTTAAGATGTGCAGCTACTCAAAATGCACTAATCTAAAGAATTTGAAATATCGAAGTTTGATTTCTTTTTGAGCTGTATACTTAGCAGCCTAACAATTACATATGCTCGAATCACAGGTAGTTGTGGACAGGAACACCCCTACCCCACCCCCTGATATTCAACCCCGGGGCTTCTTAGACATTTTTTTCACAAATTATATTTATTACACTTATTCATCATGTTTACAATAAGAAACAAGATGTGTTTGTGAAACACTATGGGCCCGGCGGCAACAAAGTTCCAAAAACAATTTTTAGCATATAGGTCACAGTCAACGTCACAAGGTCATCGATCTGTATGTCATTTGAAAGAACTTAAGTGGAGTAAGCATACCAAATATGAAGTCTCTATCTCTCAAGGTTCAAAAGTTCTGGCGAAAGTTAAAGTTGACAACAGACAGACAGACAAACATACAGGACAAAAACAATATACGCCTCGGATCTATCGATCCAGGCGCATAAAAATAGTAAAAACCCCAAAATAACCGCTCCACAAAAAATATACCCCAATATGCATTATACTTGTATCTCTCTTATAATGTAATTAATTTATGAAAAAAATGTCCAATAAGCCTCGGGGTTGAATATCGGGGATAGGCGGGTGGTGGTCCTGTCCACAAGTGCCTGTGACTCGAATTGCACCTTGTTACTACTGTTCTCGTGCAGATAAAGTGATACGACCTTTTATCTTACTTACGTTCTTCTTTAAAAGAAATGACAACGCCTACTAGTGATTAAATAAAAATGAATTTTAGTACAGTACCTTGATTTTTATCTTCCTTTGGTTTGGGTTTCTTCTTAAAGAATTTCTTTTTAAACATGTCTGAAGAAATACATTCAACTGCTAAAGACAATGTATTGACGGCCAGAGATGCACGTGTAATAAGATTGCAATCCTTCTTAATTGCGAAACTTTAAGGAAATTTAACATTTTATCATATCATTCTAATGGGCTACAGCGCAAATGTTTTGTTATTTCTCAAACTATAGACCTTATAGACAAGAAATAGGGGTCTACATTATTATTATATAATAATAATAGATACACAAGATTCTCATTTTTAAGTTGTAGAATAACATTATTCCAAACTTACTTCTTCCAATATCAATATTTTCTTCTTTTCAGTTGATTCTGAGAAAATGATCCAGATTCCAATATATTGATGGTTCTTGTTTAAAGGCTGGGGAGTATGTGTTTGAAGTACTGTAAAGCTGATTGTGTTATCATGCAATACAACGGTCAACAAATACTTTTTCAGGGCGCAATGTATTATCAGATTTATACTTGTGACAAGGTTTTTGTCGGTGAACTGACAAGTACAAGGGATGCATTGAGATTAGTTTTTAATCAAGATAAAGAATAGTCTTCTATATATAAAACTTACACATGAAGCTGATGCCAGGTAAGGGGCGGGACTAAATTTTACATGCGTGGCACCCCGAGGCATTGACGGTCGTGCAGAACGTGCGAAACGCTAATTCCTATACACAAACAGTATACACAGGAAGTCCATGAATATTACCTGTACAGCTTCTTGGCCTACTGTTCATCGTAAAATTAGTAGATCTCGACACCGTAAATAAAAAATATTATTAATAATAATAAATATTTGTAAAATTCCATAATTTAGACTTATATCTAATATCAAACACATCCCTACTAATATGTTCGGAACCTTTTATTTTTCGGTGTTCTGCAAATTATAAAACCCGATGCGTTCAGAGTAGCTCTGGCAGTGGCTCTGGCGAGAGTTAGCGAGACTACAGCGAGATAGGGTAAATTATTCACGGAAATGTGGCTAGGAAGTGACTAGCACGTGGAGACATGGTAAACAGAAAAGTTTACACTTAGTTACACGATTAACGTGTTGCGTTTTAGTTTTCACACCCCTATAATATCATACTGTAGAAATGTACTTCAATCGATCTCCCTTGAATTCATTTAAATTTAAATTATAAGTATTCTCTATGACACAATTTTCTGTTGTCATGAATTAAAATTTCTTTTTGGACAAATATTTTGCATGGAACTGGGATTATATTTTTGGGCGTCAGATTAGCAAATGAGAAACCAATGTGACATTAGCTGAATGAGAATTGTGTTATGATTTACTACGAATACTACAGGAATATTCCTTTATTGTACTATCGGTGAATACAATTGTCCGGTGGATTCTCTAGCCAACACACGTGATCACGAGAAAAATTATTTTAAAATGTTTTGTTCATTTAAATGCATACGAGAAGCTGCTCGTTTTCCTTACCCTTGAAGTGCTGGTGTTCTGAACTTGACACTAACTACGTATACATTTTATAAAACATTTTTTCTAGTTAACAACACATTAAAAACGCCCGTGATATCTTTCATAGTTTTTAATGTTTGCATTTTGTTCATAAGAACATTTTTTTTTGCACTCCATTGACATGATCATATATTGACCTGAACCACGTGTTCGAAGTAACATGTAAACATGTATTTGGCGTAAACGTATTCAATCAACAATTGGTCAGTTGCTCGTGGTTAGATCCTCCGTGCGCATTAACAGCAATAGCCATATAAGGCAAACAAAGGTTTGTCAGTGTATATGATATTACACATGTTTTTACTAGCGTATTGGTCTCTAGTGAGCTGCAATTTTTGCAGTAAACTATGATAAGATATATTAATTGTTATTTACCCCTCCTTCCTTTAGCCACCCATTTCTATTGAAAATCATGAAAGTCTTTCAGAAAGGTCTAGAAACACATTTTTCACAGGGCATGTTTTCAAAAGAAACAGACTATAGCAATTTCCTGTTCACTGTCAATTTTATTTATAAAACCGGTTCTACGCGCAACCCTTCTTCACTTTCATCAAACTTATTGCGCATGTCATTGATCATCTTCTATCCCTTCTTTCATCCACCCCAAAACCCTGTGGCGACAGGCGAGCAACGAAGGTGACAGGTGCGGATACACTAGAAGTCGCTACTCGCGGACCTGCACACAGGCAGCACAGGCCATATGGTCGCTCTTCACCGACCGGTGAGCGTTGGAGTTTGGCAGCCTCCTGTGCGACTTAGCAGCCCTCTTTAGGAACGCACTGCTCACCTCCATGGCAAAAGGGGCGGATTATAAAAGGTATCCCAAACATTGCCTGCTCCACACTTCCCTAGCCAGTTTACCGCGGGTGGTAGGGACCCTACATATGCGATCGAAATAAAAAAGAGAACAAGAAGAACACAAGGATCATCCCACTGTACCTTGGATCGTGGAACGTTCGAGCGCATCTCGACAGAGACACTACAAACAGACCTCAGAGACGCACAGCAATGATTGCAAGCGAACTCGTGAGATATAACATTGACATTGCAGCTCTCAGTGAAACCAGGTTGGTTGGAGAAGGTGAACTTTGTGAAAAAGGCGCTGACTACACCTTCTTTTGGAGTGGACGAGGAGCCGTGGAGAGACGAGAAGCTGGCGTAGGCTTTGCTATAAAGACGACACTTGCTGGCAAGCTAGTCGGCGTACCCAAAGCAATGAACGACCGCCTGATAACGATGAGTCCCCCCCTCACTCGAGGAAAGTTCGCCACTATTGTCAGCGCATACGCTCCTACCCTGAATAACCCAGAGGAGACTAAAAACAAGTTCTTTGAGAACCTCCACAATGTTATAAATGCCGTCCACAACGCCGACGAGCTCATCATTCTTGGTGAATTTATCGCGAGAGTTGGACGTGACACCACCACCTGGGAAGGCGTGAATAGGAAGATTGGGAAGCACGAAGTGGGCAAGTGCATCAAAAACGGCATGCTGCTTCTCCAGACTTCCGCTGAACATGGCCTTCTCATCACAAACACCGTTTTCTGCCTTCCCATCCGTAACAAGACGTCATGGATGCACTCGCGCTCAAAGCACTGGCATATCATTGACTACCTCATCGTCAGGAAAAGAGACGGACAGGACGTTCGTGTCATCAAAGTTATGCTGGACAGATCACCGTCTCATCGACTCTAAACCCAACTTTCGGATCAAACCCAAGATACGTCCTCAGGGGACCAAGGCTCCAAAACGTCTCAACGATGACAGCACTTTGCGTACACCCTGGAAGAACGTCACCGTGCTGGATGACCACGACGTGGAAGCAGCATGAAGCACACTACAATACAGCCTTCGAGTGTCTTGGGCCCTCCACCAGAAAACACAAAGACTGGTTTGATGAGAACTACACAGAGATTACGCAGCTTCTGGACAAGCATCGCACTTACAAGGCTCATATAGATGACCCCACCTCCACAGCCAAGAAAGACGCTCTGAGGAACGCTCGCAGCACAGTAAAGCAAAAACTTCGGGATATGCAGGACTCCTGGCTGACAAGATTCAACAATACGCCGACTCTCATGACACGAAGAACTTTTACTGTGGACTGAAGGAAGTCTACGGGCCAACTCCATCAGGCTCATCACCGCTCCTCAGGGCGGACGGGTTAATACTCCTCACAGAGAAGGCAAAGATAATCGACAGGTTGGCGAAGCATTTCAATGGCGTTCTGAACCGCCCTTCTACCATCAATGACGAAGCCATCTTCCGACTACCCCAGGTTCCCATCAACCAGTCACTGGACGCCGTTCCCACGCTGAAAGAAATCCAGAAAGCAATAAGTCCGCTGTCAACTGGCAAAGCACCTGGCGGAGACTCCATCCCAACTGAGATTTACAAAGAAGGGGGCATGCCTCCCGTCAAAAAACTCAAACATCTGCTTGAGCTCATTTGGAACCAAAAGAAGGTGCCTCAAGACCTCAAGGATGCCTCAATCATCCACCTGTACAAGCGAAAGGGAAAAAGGTATGCCTGCAACAACCACCTCTCCGTCGCAGGCAAGACGCTAGCACTGGTTCTACTTAACTGTCTCATTAAACACCTTGAGGATGGCCTCCTGCCCCAGAGTCAGTGTGGCTTCCGGAAGAATCGCGGTACAATCGACATGGTGTTTGCAGCACGTCAGCTACAAGAGAAGTATCAGAAACAGAACTCCGACCTGTACTCCACTTACATCAATCTGTCAGCAGAGAATGCCTCTGGTGGATCATAGCGAAGATCGGATGCCCAACAAAATCCATCACCATTGTTCGACAGCTGCACGATGGGATGCAGGCGAGGGTCCAAGATGGCGTCGAATCTTCAGAGCCATTCTCTGTCTTCAATGGAGTGGAGCAGGGCTGCGTGCTCGCCAGGATGCTCTTCAGCCTGATGTTCTCCGCCATGCATACTGATGCCTTCGATGGCATGGAAACCGGAATCAAATGGCGCTTTGATGGCTCAGTCTTGAAACCTCAGACGTCTACAAGCGAAGTTCAAGGTTCATTCGGACACCATCAACGACCTCCTGTTTGCTGATGATTCTGCCCTCAACGCTACCTCCGAGGTAAATATGCAGCACAGCGTTGACAAGTTCTCTGATGCCTGCGACCTTTGGCATTACTATCAGCACAAAGAAGACCAAAGTCATGCACCAGCCAGCACCAGGCAAACCGTATGTTGAGCCCACCATCAACAATCAACGGCTAAATGTAGTGGAGAAGTTCACGTACCTCGGTAGCACTCTCTCCATGAACGTTGTGATCGATAACGAGGTGACGCTAGACTGGCCAAGGCTAGCGTTGCTTTCAGCAGACTGTACAAGAACGTGTGGGACAGAAGAGGCATCACAACAGAGGCAAAGATTAAGGTCTACCGTGCACCGCTGTATGGCTGTGAAGCGTGGACTGTCTGCCAGAGGCACGCCAAAAAGCTGAACCTTTTCCACACGACCAGCCTCAGAAAGCTTCTCGGTATCAAGTGGCAAGAAAAGATACCCGGTACAGAAGTCCTCGCCCGAGCTGGCTTGCCCAGCATCTACACCATGCTCATGCAGTCACAACTCCGCTGGGTGGGACACATAGTCCCGTATGCCAGACCATCGACTCCCCAAAAAAGTACTCTTTGGTGAACTACTGGAAGGAAAGCGTGCCTGTGGTGCCCCCAAAAAGTAATTCAATGACAGCCTTAAGGCCTCCCTCAAGGCATTCAGTATCAACTCTGATTCATGGGAAGTTGCAGCACAAGACAGGTGTGGGTGGAGAGTCGCAGTCCACGAGGGCGCCAAGAGCTGTGAAACCAACAGGATGTCTGCAGCAGAACAACACAGACAGGCCAGGATAGACAGCGCCAAGGACCCAACTGCTGCCACCATCCCCTGCCCTCACTGTCCGAGACTATTCCGAGCGAGGATCGGCCTGACCAGTCACCTCTGCAACCACCGTCCAGGTCAACCCCTCCCCCACGAAGATGAGACAGCGGTAATCGTCGCCACCGACGGACGAACAACAGATTATAATTAAACAACTTAAAACAAAATATTAATTCATTGCTAACTTATGTATTTCTTTCAAAACTATTTTTAAAAACCCTTGACCTTGAACGGAGGTAACAACCCATGTAGCAAGAAATGCCCGGTTATGAAAAAGGAAAAGGAAAGAAAAAAAATACTTTAATACTTGTACATGTCCAGGCGAAGTTGTTACAAATCAGACATTTTGTTTTCAACCTTACTATCCATTACATGCAAAAAATGTTACCAGCTTATCCACTCCTTTAATTTCATCGTAATGTTTTCGCTGCATCTCAAAACAAGAATCTTTTTACGAGTGAAAACAAGATTTCAGTCACCTATGCACTTTTTAATTCGAAAAAATATACACTATGTTGATTTATTGTATTGAAACACTATGAGATCATTTTCATCTTTTTCAATGACATGCATGTTTATAATACCAGGGACCTATATGTCCCTGATACTGATAATGCAGATAATTCTAATCAGTTATAATCAAACTAATTTGTTTGCAGCGTAATGGCTTCCTGGACATAGTGATGGTAATTTAGCGGTAAACATCAGAAGGCCGAAAGTTAATTTGATGGTGACCACGCGTGTCAAATAAGGTGAAAGAGATATACAAAGGGACTAGTACCTAAATGTCAATCAAATTCAAGTACCCAATGATGGACCTTAATTTATTTGATTGACGGGGGAATAGAGATCAGGTAAATCTGAGGGCAGTGCTTATTATCTCGGGCTTTAAAGTCGTAATATACATGTATAATCCTGCAGTAAATGTACGTCTGTATTTTAGGCTGTCCCTTAAAACGGTAGATTTTACTCAAACTTGGCATGTACACTGAAGTCAATGTGAGTAACATATATGTTATTAATTAAATTAACGAGTTCCGCTATGTAGTTTTCGCACAATAAAATCCCAGTCGGCTCTTTTAAATCAAGTTTTGGTTGAATAATTCAGTAATTACGTTTTATGAGATAAATAAACGTCAGTTTCATATGAAGCGCCGTTTTGATTTACGGGTAAAAAGTGATATCACCTATTTGAATAGGTGATATCACTTAATTTTCGAATAGGTGATATCACCTTTTCGAATTGGTGATATCACCTATTCAATTGGATATGAATAGGTGATATCATCTATTCAATTTGTATAGGTGATATCACTTATTGGAATAAGTGATATCGCCTATTCGAAAGGAATAGGTGATATCACCTATTCGAATAAGTGATATCACATTTTCGAATAGGTGATATCACCTATTCAAATAGGTGATATCACTTTTTGGCAGTAAATACCAAAACGGCGCCCCATAGTTTCATTACAAATTGCCAGTAGCTTAGATCCGCCAACCGATGCGAGTGAAGTCACCAGACATCACTAGATACGTAGCATCGTTCTTGAAGGTGGGGGGGGGGGCAGCCAGAAAATATTTTTTATACTTACCTGAAAAAATTGACAAGGAAAAAAAAGGAATTGCCAAGACTCAAAAATCCTATTTCGTAGGGGTGAGGGTGGTGGGTTGGATGGGATCACCTGGGTGGGGTTTAGACGCCAACTTTTTTCTCAATAGCAATTTTTTTCGCACCAATGTTTTCTCCATATAATACGATATCCTTATTTCAGTATTCAATAGCAATTTTTTTTTTGGGGGGGGGGGGACAAGCTTTTCAGTGAACATTTTCAATAGTAAATGTTTAGTCCCCCTCCTGTTGCTATGTGCCTGATCACCTTGCATAGTGTATTGTTAGAGGAGAAAGTAAGAACTCTGGTGCACCCCTTATCTTAAAACCCGCTGAAAAGGACAAATGTGTTACATTATACATAAAATGTCAAGAATATTAGAATGGAAGAAAAGGATAAAATTGTGTCGATCCTTGAAATAAAAAACGGGTCCATACCCCAGGTCCCTGAGGTTTTTGTCATTCAGACCGAAACGACTAGTAGGTAACCTAAGCTGAAACTGCAGCAGCAGTCCGTAAAACGTCAGATGTAATAAACTTTGGGCCACTGAAAAAAATGCCAAAACAACGGGCATCGTACCGCATTACACATGTAGTATAATGGTGCCAAAGCCGATTAGTACCATGCAGAAAAAAATATTTTACCTTGCGGCCGTTCTTATAGGCCTGTTCTAGTGTAAAGTTTAAAAGCGAGTTGTCTCCAGTTTAATTTTTACTATTGAATAAACTTGCATAAAAGTTTACGGAGTTACTAGTAAAATTAAATGACTTGAAAATTTTTAATACTAATTTTATAGAGACCAAGCTCCAGAAAACTGCAAAACTGTTTTAATAATAGTCTTTGAGACCAAATCAAAAGAGAATAGCCTCCAAAAAAATTATATTTCGTAAGTTTCTATGATGTAATCACCTTCCATCGTCCTTAGAATCCTGAAACAGCATATACATGCGTACTTAGTTTTGTGAAATCAGGTGTCTGTTTTACATAAGAAGTGAAAACCGGAACCAAAAACCTTAGTATAATTACCCCAGTATACTAGTATCTTTCTATCATAACCATTTTCAGATAAATGTAATACAAGAAATATGATGAACAGAATCAAATAGAAGTCTTCTTGATAAAGTTCTTTTGTAATGCAGGCCCCTGACTAACACTGACGAGGGATAGGCATTTCA